TAAACAAAAATAAAAACGACAAAAACAGGACAAAATAGTAAAAAATAAAATTAAACTGAAAACGGAAAATATTGCGGAAAACTGCAATATTAATAAAAATATAGTATCTCAAGCATACTAAAATGATACAGCAACCAACTGAAATAAGTTGAAATTAAAGCTCTAAAATTTTTTTACTATAATTCAAATAAAACTGAACATATAAAAATAAACGTTATTAAAAAATTTTAATAATTAAAAATATGAATAAAAGCTGCATTAAAATAACACTAAATAAATTAACAATAGTAAATTAACACTGGCTAGATAGCAGTAGTTATACAATTAGTTTCTTTATCCAACAGCGCCATCATACTGTGAAAAGGAGGCAGTACATTTCTGAACATAAAAGTGAAATCAAAACACTAAACATTATTTAAAACATTTTGCAATATAAGAATAAACAGAATAAAATTTTGCAAAAGTAAGTTTATGCTTACGTAAAGTGAATGAAAAGCATCAGAATGGTTGCGCACATCTGTGTAATAAATATATATCTTTATTTGCACTTCATTAGTTTAAGAATGCCACAGGTTATACCACAAAATTGCTTAAACATGCCAAACTGTTTCAAATAACTAATATCAACGTATTATTCATACTCTTCTGTTTTGCATTGTAATGAGATCTGTTTCATTTTTTTTTTTTGTAATGTGATTGGCTGAGAGACTAAACCAAGACCAAGGCTATTCTGTACAAAATGAAGGTTTATAAAGGCAACATGAATTGCTACTAGAATTAAGAAACTCTACTGAGTTCAAAGAGCATGCTGGGTTTAACTTTTTCAAGAAAACCGATGTGTCATTGACAGTCTTTCTGAAGAGCATGAAGCCAGACTTACTAAGCTTGAAACAAAGCAAAATAAAATATGAATAAAAACAATAAAAACTAAAAAGGCCAAAGGTTTGAGAGTGCTCCTTCAGACACACAACAAATGTAAAAATTACCAGGGGGTTTGATGGAAATAATAATAATAATAATAACAATAAAAAGAAAAAGAAAAAAATGGTTATAGCTTAGTAAAATCTGACTCCAGGTTCAGAAGAAATTCAACTACCATCCAAAATAAATTAAACATCTGCCAATCCCGCAGAGAAAGAAAGTAAAAAGCACTCGGTGAAAGGGATCGGATGATCATTAGAGTATCTCATAAGGTTACAATATGGTACAAGCCTGCAAACATCAACGTTTTGAGGTTAGTACACTTTCCCTAACACTGTTAAAACATAAGGTTTAGGTTGGTTATCAACTTTCAAAAGACACACAGTTCAAAGAAGTTAAATCTGAAAAATAAAGAGTTAAATGGAGTTAGAATAATACAGAACCAAAAAAGCTATACAGCAAAAAAAGCTGTTTTTCACCTCAGCAACAGTCAAACATTAGTCCCTCAGAAACACACACAAGTTTGGTTATTTAATGCTATACTGGTTTCTGACGAGAATATTAATGCATTACAAACAACATAAACACACTGCCACTACACACATAATTCATCTTTCTATTATTTGACATATGGTGAATCTCATTAAACCTGTCCAAAACATTTATAGGTCATATTTAACCCCCCCCCCCCCC